GCACCAGTATACTGATCATAAAACTCTCACCCAGACTGGCCTGAAAACCATTCCCAATGATTTTTTTTCTTCTTCTGAAGCTGTTCCCAATTTTCGTCGTCGTTGGCGCGCGCCCGCTACGCCTGCCGTTGCGGTCTCGTAATCAGGAATATAATGTGCACAGTACGTGCGCGTGTACTGAAGCGGGAAGCAAGCGGGTGGAACAGACAACGTACTAGGAGGGGAGGCCTCTGTGTTTGGTTGCAAATTGCAATGCAAACGAATGATCAATGATCGTCTTCGTCTCGTCCGCATGCATGCATGCATGAGCGAGTCACGATTCACGAACACTGAAATAAATATCTGAACTTTTTAACCAAGGCCTGGTTTAGATTGCAAGTTTTTTCACTCTCTCTCCATCACATCAAATCTTTAGACACATGCATGTAGTATTAAATGTAGATAAAAAAAATAACTAATTACACAGTTTGATTGTAAATTACGAGACGCATCTTTTGAGCCTAGTTAGGCCATGATTGGACAATAATTGTCAAATACAAACGAAAGTGCTACAGTGCCAAATATTGATTACTAACCCCAATCTAAACAAGGCCCAACAGAAAGAGAGAAAAAACATGAATTTTGCTTGCATGCATGGTAGTAGTGTAACTAGTACGAGCAGTACTGTACTGTACGTACCTTAGGCTCTGTTCAGCAGGACTTATTGATGCTGCGGCTAATTTGTAGGACTAATTTGTTGTGAGAGAAAATACTGTTTATAATAACTGAAAAAGTAGAGCTGATTCTAGCTTATAAGCTCAAGCGAGAAGAGCCTTAGTTTGTGCACACTGTAGCAGTGCTCTGTAGCTAACCAAAAGTTGGTGGTGCTTAATTCTAAGACACGGCTAGCTAGCTCATCATTGTCAAATACCACCGACTATTTCCATCAGTTAGTTAGGAACATTAGGTGATGGGATTCCAGGCAGGACTTGCATGCTCAACCATACAAAAAAACAAAGGTATTTGGAAGGAGGGAAAAAAAAGGAGAATACAAAACATGGGATCACGTTGCCTGCATGTGCGGCAAGACTCCTCCGGTCCTACCAAGACCAACTACTACTTAATACTAAGATAGGCCAGTTGCCTTGCGCGTATAAAGAAATCAATCAGAGTGGAAACTTTGGCCTTTATATATATGATGATACATAATATAATATACATGGTTCTTTCATTAGCTTTGGAGAGAGAAAAAACAGAAAAAGAGAAATGATAAGCTGCAAGGTTGACCGCTCCTTAGCAACATTCCGAGCACTACTGATGCTACACAAAAACACAATTATTCTTCACCAGGAAATCCTTAGTTCCTTACAATAATAAGTCTCTCTCTATATAACATCTCTGGTTCTCTACCTTACAAGCATTTTTGTGATGTCTTTGTTCCAACAAACGCGATCTTCTCTGAATATGTGAACACTTGCGTACTAATTGTTTCCAAGTTCTTTTCAGGCTAGCTACTTCGGAGATCCTCTTTATCGAACATTACACCTTTTGGCTTTTGCCATGGACATCGACTAGGAGATGTGAATGAAAGTATGTAGAAGAAGAAAAAGCAGGGCTTGGGACAGGGGGGACAGAGAAGGGAGCGTCGGCCATGTGGAGTATATTCTAAGCACGCCACTAATAATAATGCAACAGTACAAGATTTGAACACTGTAGGAGAGTGAACTCAGGCGTTGGTGATGATACCTATGCACTGTGCGCTGCGACCGAGCCTGCAGCTAAGCTTGCCAGCGTCGGCCACCGACACGGCGACTCCACCGGTTGCAGCCCGCGCCTGGCACCGGCGGTCGGCGCAGGCTCAGGTGCAGGTCTTCATGCCATGTTGCTCTGATGAATTGGTTTACTCTCCTTAAAAAAAGACACAATTTTAGATCAGATTTAAATCAAATTAATTTTAATTAAATTTATAGAGAATAGTATGGACATTTATGACTTCAAACAGAAGTACTATTAAATCATATTTCACGATAAATTCAATAATATATGTTTAATACGTTAAATATTGAATATTAATCTACAACTGAATATTTGGACGGAAGCAGTATCGGCGAGTTTGCCTTGGAATTTCCACCGCGGCAGCGATGTCAAATGGTCCCGGTCAAATCACCCCACCCAACCACATTAGCAGCGGAATTCTATATATTTTTTGGTTGCTGCCGGACCTTCGAACAAAAGTTAAACAAAACGAATAGATGGAGGACCACGACGGACGTGGTTCCTAGTACGCGAGCGAGTGCCTGACAAATGTGAGCATACCAGCTGCTAGCTACTAGCGCCACACATATAACAAGTCAAGGATCAAGCTACTGACAAAAACGAAATGACGTCCAAATCAGAAATTCAACCCGATCAAACCACACTTTCTTCCACTGTTCTGTTTGATCGATGGAGCAACATTTTCTGGATGCGCGGCGGATCTCATCTCATCTGCTAAACCTCCATTTAGCGCGCGGTGCAGTGGTATTGATATATATGCATGTCGACAGTGGAGTATTCCCTCGTTAAAAAACAGCTCCTGCCGATCTGAATCTCAAAGACTGATCAAAGGCAATGTATGTGGCTACTGAGAGCTAGCATAATGCCGGCCCGGCGCAACGCAAAAGGGAGACAAAAATGATGTGAAGAATTCGTTGAGTCACATGCATTTGTGTATCTACCATGTTGGTTGCTGCTGGTGGTGGTGTGGAGATGGATATGATGAGAGAGAGAGGTGGGCATCCAGGACAGTGCATGTATGCATCCCATGTGAGATGTTCTTCTTCAGTTCAGATGCCCATGCACCTGCTGCTCCCTAGTCTTCCCCACCCCACCCACTCACCAGTCACCAGACACCAGCAAAATCTCCTCATTTCATAGATCAAACCAGCGCAAAATGTTCCAAGCAATGCAATGCTCCAACAACCATACAAGATCAGAAAATGGCCGGTCAGGCACTCAGGCTCAGGGTGCGTCCGGCCCATTGTCTAGGACTAGGATTCGAGCTTTGCTAACTGTGTGACTGTATGAACAGTCAGGTAAGCGTCTGGTCAGGATTCAGGAAACTGCAGCAGAAAATGGGCAGTGAAATTGCAGCTCCCACCATGCATAAATAATTCAACTGCAAAATCGTGTAACTGAAATTGCAGTTGCATGATAAGTCTGAATGGTCACCAGTTATGCCACAAAGTTGCATTCTAAATCTCTGTGTATATATAGTTTCTTCACAAAATTCTTAGCAAGGGGTCAAGCACAAAATAAGTAAGTGCTGACATTGTAAGAATTTTCCTCAGTTCTCCAGGCTATCTGTCAGGAGCTCTGGGCCAATTCATGTGAAGAAGCGATAATACATGTACCAACCGATGTACATGTGATAGGAGCATTGTGCAGGATCTATGTATTCCAACTTCATTTTCTGACCAAAATCGACTTGTACAGTTCAAATTTTGGGCACTAGCTTCGTCATGAAGCTGTATTGCATTCCTTTTGCTATCTTAGGTTCTGGCCATTTATTTGGCTCCTTTTGCTACATGGATGCATTTGAAACCATGTTGTTTCTTTGTACAGGCGCAGGGCAGCTATGTTGTTTACATCACGATGCAATGCCATGGCCCATGGCCCGGCCGGCATCCCCAAATCATCACTTGAGCCTCTACTTGGACCTCCAATTCTAAACAATGGAAATTCAAATTCAGCTCAGCATTTCCTTGGATGAATCAGTTGACTGTTCTTAAGAACTTCCCTAGATAATCAGCAATAAACTTTAAATGAACTGTACTAACTGCCCTGAATTGGTTGTGTATTGCATTTTCTTTTGGAAGCTGTAGATAGGTCAAAGTTTCCTCATGTTTTACGTGGTTACAAGGAATGATCCACTTGTTCAAATTGTAGTATCAACCATGTCATTTGTTTCTAACAAAAAGAAATGGTTATCTGCATGTGCACGACTATGGGCATGTTTGTATACAAGGGCTAATTGCTAGGTAGCTAAAAATTAGTTAAAATTAGCTCATTTTTAATCAAGTCTTCAACTAGTTATTAGTCAACTAGCTATTCAACCACAACTAATTTGGGCTAATTTTTAGTTCCAACTAGTACCTAGTTATGTGTATCAAACAGGCCCTATATCCAGACATCCATGTAATTGGCAGCTACACTGGACCCAATACTGACACTCTATCTATAGAAAGAAGACACCGTGTATAAGCTTCTCAACAACATAGCAGTGTTTTCTCCAAGTCCCAAATAATGCTAGGACAACATCTCATCAGTTCATCAGCGTAGAGCTAACACGCTTAACAATGCCGTGCAAAAAAAAGAAGGTGCCTTTTCAACCGAGTGAGTGAAAAAATACAATTTTGTACGGTTGGTTGATTTGAAGTTTTGAACACTTATTCAGATGGCTTATGTTGTCTATTCAACCTCCATCCAAGCGCTCCTGCAGTCCTCTGCTGCTCTCTTCCTCTTGACACGATTAAAGGAGCCCAAGCCCACATAAATTAGGCCCAATTATCCATCCATCGGCCTAGCCCACCTCTGTTCTTTGTACTTGTTCCTTCCTGTAATCTTCACTGCAACGGAGTGTTTCGCGTTCTGTCAGAGTCAGACACAGACAGACGCGTGGATCTGATTCGCTGCTTGGCCCGTTTTCGTATCCCGTCACTGACGGCCAGGAGCAGGCCCACTCGCTATCTCCGTGCTGACGGGCCCACAAGGCAGCAGGGAGGTCGGATCGGCCCAGCAAATCCACTGGGCCTTTCAGGGCGAAGCAGTTGTCCTCCCCAAGCGGATTCGCGACTTGTTGGCTTGCCGTTCGCGGACGCGGACGCGACGGCAGCGTAGAACCAGTGGTCTCCCCCACGCCCTGTCCCGTCGCGACTCGCGACCACCAGTCCAGCCCGTCCACCACCACCACCACCTCAGCCGCTCCCTCCCAGTCACCTCTCGCTGTCCTCCTCCTCGGCTTCTCCTAAAAGCTCGATGCGATGGCGACGCTGGTGCAGCCGCCCGTGCTGCACGCCCGCGCCGTGAGCGGCGGCGGCGGCGGCGGAGGGAACAAGGACAAGGTGGCGCAGCGGCCGTGGTGGGGCGGGAACAAGCCCGTCTCGCCGCGCCAGCCGCGGCAGTCGGGCGGGAGCGGGGCGCGAGGAGGCGCGGGCACCGGCGGCGCGCTGGACCAGGTGCTGGGCGTGCTCCGCCGCGACGGCGAGTTCCTCCAGGCCGCCGCCGGCGCCCGCTCCGCGACGTCTTCTGGCTTCGCTTCCTCGAGAAGAAGCAGCGGAAGCAGCAGCAGGCGAGACCTAAGCCCAAGCCTCTGCGACAGAAGCAGCAGGAGGAGGTGGTAGTGGTGGATGAGTCGCCCCCGGCCTTCCCGCCCCCTTCGTACTCGCCAGGTTCCTTACCGGCTACCAGAGCTCATCTCAATTCGACTCCATTCCGCGCGCATCGTCTTGCTGATGTCCACATTTCTCCGGGTTTTGATAGGGTTGTCGTGCGTGGAGCTAATGGCGGCCGACTTCCAGGCCCTCAAGGTGTATGCCGGTAGCGCGCAGCATTCTCTCGCGCGGCGATTCCTCGGTAACAAGGGGAAGCTTGAACAGCAATCTAGACCCAAACCCCAGGAACAGCAGAAAGAGCAGCAGCAGATACTTCAGGCTCCGGCCTTCCCTCCGCCCTCGTACCCACCAGGTTTCTAGCACGATGCAGCAGGAGCTCTAGATTTGGTGTAAATTAAGCTACGTCAGTCACATTATTGGCTAATTTTATCAATGTTATATGGTAGGGTTGTCCTGTATGGAGTTGATGATGGCTGATCTTGAAGCCCTCAAACTGTACATCAACTACTATTCAGCCATCCTCACTACACCGCTTCCCCAGCATTACGATCCTGATCTCCTTGCTCAGTACTTCGCCTCACGTCCTCATATCCTTGCGTCTCGCGTCATTCAGGTTAACTATGAGCCCTTCATTTGCTTTTTAGTACTAACCTATACTTGCTTCCAGTTATTGTAACTAATAGGTCCATTTGCTGTCAACCTTTGCTCTGCAGATACTCTTCACAGTTCTCTCAGCTGTGGTAAAGATGCAGATTTCTAAAAGAGCTCAGTTGACCACAGATGCTACCTATAGTAGTGGGAGCAGCAGCAAAGGCTTTGATGATACTCAATATATGGTCGGTCAACTTCTCAAGGAGACATTTCTTAACCTTGGGCCTACTTTTGTTAAAGGTTGGGTAGTCATGCTTGGCAAGACAGCATCAAGGCAAGGTGGCGGTCACCTGCCTCGGATTGCCTCATGACATCTGTCTTTTCTTATGTATGCAGTTGGACAATCACTTTCTACAAGACCTGATATCATAGGTTCAGAGATTTGTGAGGTTAGGTAAATTTCTCCCTGTTCTGCATTTTTGTTGCCTCATTAGCATTTGCTTGATAGTTAAGTGGTCTTCACATTCTTTTACTAGAAATTGACTAGTTCATTGCTACTCAATTTTAGGCCCTTGCTGAGTTGCATGAAAGAGTTCCTACTTTCCCAAGAGAGGATGCAATGAAGATCATTGAGGGAGAATTTGAGTGCCCTGTGTCGCATATGTTCAGTTACGTTTCGGATGAGCCTGTAGCAGCTGCTTCCTTTGGACAGGTAATATCCTCATGTGCCTCCTTCCTGCCTGTGCTATGTTAGAACAAGTTATTTGGAATTTCTGGTGTAGTCTTATTCAATTTTCTGTATCATTATTCTCAGTATGTACTATTGTTTTCAAGGAAGTCTTGTGTTTTTTACTTCAGGTCTACCAGGGGCGCACAGTTGATGGTGCTCTTGTTGCAATAAAGGTTCAGCGGCCAGACCTTCTACCTTTTGTACTGAGAGACATCTATATTCTACGCCTTGGGGTATGTATATTTTCATCTAACATATACACTGTTGCTCTTCACTCATCCGGTGATTTTTGTTGTGCTTATGACACTCTTTGCATTCTTTCTCATCATCTGGCCATGATCGTTTTCCTGGGCTTTGGTGCTATCTGTGATTTTATTGTTTGCATGGGCCTGTTCATGGGATTTGTTTGTAACAGCAAAATGCATGGTCCTATTTCCAATACGGATAGCCTTTCTCTCACCTTAAGAAATGCTGCACTTAGCTTCCCTGTTCATGAACTTGCTTTAGCTATAACTTAGTGTAATTGTGACTGTAGCATCACAGCATTTTTTATCACTTTAGTCTCATTCTTGTGATGCTTTTTTATTCAGTTGTTTACCTCCTACAATTTATTTCAGCTTTCTTTCATACGGAAGATAGCCAAGCGAAGAAGTAATATTTCTCTTTATGCTGATGAGTTGGGTAGAGGTTTCGTTGGTGAGTTGGACTACAATATTGAAGCTGCTAACGCTACCAAATTTATGGTGCTTTTTTTCTTCTCTTACCTGTGCTTTTGCAAACTTATACGATCCTGTTAAGTTTGGTATTTTAGCTATAATTTCCATTCTTGCAGGAGGTTCATTCCAGATATCCTTTCATGCTAGTTCCTAAGGTTCTTAAACAATTTACTAGAAAGAGGGTTTTGACAATGGAGTGGGTGGATGGTGAGAACCCCAAGGATTTGCTTTCTTTGTCTAAAGGAGTTTCTGAAAAAATTACTCAAGCTTCAGATAAGCAGAAGTTGGAAGCAAAATCTCGCCTTCTTGACCTGGTATTTACTAATGATTTGAATAAACTGTTATCAACTAGCCAGTATTTTCCTCTTGGAAAAAATTGGAATTGAAGTTGTTTTATGGGAAAGAGCTTCTCTATCAATTTCACATCGTAACTTAGGTAGTTGTGTACCATTTCACACTTATTTCAGAATCACAGCACTTTAAAACATCTATCTTTTGAATCTTGAGGGCTATTTTTTTCTGTTATGATGGTGTGGTGCAAGCAGTAGAGTCTTACCGCCTGTGACCTGAAGGTCCCGGGTTCGAGTCGCGGTCTCCTCGCATTGCACAGGCGAGGGTAAGGCTTGCCACTGACACCCTTCCCCAGACCCCGCACAGAGCGGGAGCTCTCTGCACTGGGTACGCCCCTTTATGATGGTGTAGCATAAACTTACAATGACTACTAGTAGATTTTACAAGCTCAATTTAAACTTGCTTCCCAATATTTTTGTAACATTTTGTTAATTACTCATAAGGTCAATAAAGGTGTAGAGGCATCGCTAGTGCAGCTTCTTGAGACAGGCTTGTTGCATGCTGATCCTCATCCTGGTAACATGCGTTATACTCCTGAAGGTCGTGTTGGGTAAGCTCTACTCCAAATAAATTCTAAACATGGTTTCACATTCTGTATACTTAAGCTTTTCGTGTTTCCCTTAATTCACATTTCATGTGATATGAGATACCCCTTTTGTGGATTTATATTTTATAGGTATGAAGCTTTTGTAATAAAATACTTCTGAAACTATTGACAACATATTCCTAAATATATCAGGTTTCTAGATTTTGGTTTGCTTTGCTTGATGGAGAGGAAACATCAGCGTGCTATGCTTGCAAGCATAGTACACATAGTAAATGGAGATTGGGCTTCCCTCGTTTATGATTTGACTGAAATGGATGTAGTTCCACCGAAAACCAATCTACGTCGTGTGACAATGGTAATTCAGCAAACTGCAGCTGTACCACGTATGTTTTATGTTTTCAGTTCAGTTCCTTGGAATTGCCACTTACATAGTCTGTTTTTGATGTTTGGCTGCAATGAAATTATTGAACATAAGACAGTCACTAAATGAAATGAGCAACAGAAGTAAAACTAGTCAATTAGAGTCCATTTGTTCTATTGAAATTCATGTAGAAACTATGTCTTGGTGACTTGTGGGCCATGGACCCTCATGTCAACCTCACAACAAGTGGCGTGTGCTATCTTTGTTGAACATGGGCTTAGTGTTATATTTAAGATAGGATTTATACTAAAGGGGCTTAAGCGTTTATGCCCTCACTTTGAAGTGAAATGGTGATTTTACCCTCGTTTTTTAAACTTTGTGATTTTACCCCTGTGTTTTTGAACTGAAGGAAGAGTTTGCCCTTGTTCTGTTAAGTCCAGTTAACGGTGTTAACTTTTGGATGGATAGACAAGATTGCCCATGTGATTTTACCCTTATTTTGTTAAAGAATGTTGTGATTTTACCCCAATTTCAATATTAAACTTTTGACATATTGGTAGGATGTTGGCAACAAAATTAGACATAAATTTATGCACTCATTTTAGTGTTATAAATTTGGGCAAAATTTGTGAAACTTTGGAAAATTTGGACAGCATACATGCCAAAATTCACCGTATTGACAAAGACATTGTCCTGCACAACTTCAGGTGTTAGCAGCGTTACCATAATTGGCAAATCAATATCACTCATCACCATTAAGATACTAAACTAGATGTGAACAATGATTCCCAAATAATTACTTAGAAAAGCTTCTGCATTTATTTTTTAGCATGCAGTAAAAAGCTTCTGCATATGCAGTATTCGTATCAGACTGTCAATATTGTATTCTCAAGGCAGGTTAACATGCATCTGATCTATAAATTAAAGGAACTTATCAAATCAAGAAAATACAAGCATTCAGAAGCATCTAGTTTGTTTCACCACTTATCCTGAAATAGTGTCTTAGATTACTGGGAAAGGTGTGAAGAACTGCAGTGAGAAATGTGCTCTCCAAGTAGAGTAGAAAAGCTCCACCAAGCCGTTGGGGCTGGCTGCTCGCCTGCTGATGGCTGCCTAGACACGCGTTGCTAGCACCTACTTTTTGTGGCATTGTTTGATGTTGATGTCTATCTTGCATTTTGTATGATCCCTCTTTACCAGCTGGATAAAGAGGAGTTTATAATCGATGACCTGATATCCCATGTGAATGTGGTCTAGTCATTGTTCAGTGAATTATTTGTATATAGTATACAGATATTAATGCATACGCTAACCATCTTTCTCAATGATTGTATTTTGTGTCTTCCATGTGTTAGGATTTGGAGGATGCATTAGGCGAAGTAACCTTTGAAGATGGAATTCCAGAAATCAAGTTTAGTAAGGTGGGTAGTTCACTCTATTGTAGGTTCAATTCAGTGCAGGGATAGCTTGATATCTTCGTACCTCTATTTTATTTCAAAAGAAGCACCATACCTAATGCAGTTCTTTTCACGTTGCTTTGCCCTTGTTTATTGCTGCATATACCTCTTAGGTGCTTGGAAAAATTTGGTCTGTGGCATTTAAATATCACTTCCGTATGCCACCTTACTACACACTGGTTCTCCGGTCACTTGCCTCTTTGGAAGGTTAGCTTGTTCAGTTGAAATTGAGATACCGAACTAATTCAATGCATAT